AAACAGGGCTGACAACACTTTACACAATGGTAGAACAAGTCACAGATTCAGAAATCAATTTGTCCTTTATTGCTTCCATTTCTACATTCACCTTTTTACATACATTTCCATTTCTTTCAGTTCTACCTTTTTGCTGCTTTTCTACACATTCAGTTCTCCATTTCATCCCGATCATCACTTTAACCTAAGACTTCTTTTCTCACAGTGCTTTCCTCATTTATTTCAGTTTCCCAAGTAAATTCATTCATTTTATGGTTAATATAGTAAATCTCAACCTCTTATGTCCACACAGAGAGAAGATAAGATTATGTTTCTAAATACAAAGTCTCCACCCTAAAAAGTTACTTCTGATAGTTTGCAGTCGTATTAGCTGCTACCCATGGAAGTTTGCATCCATTGCTGAAAAAAACAAGGATTTTTTCAATCCATAAGTCGAAATTTAAGGTCATCATCTCAAGATTGAAAGTTTCACTGACTAACTCAAACTTCTGAGAAAATGAACTTGGAATTTTGGAACTTGGAATTAAGCCAAAATTTTGAGATTTTGTTTGTATTTTGTTTTTGTCAGTCATGGAAACAAGCTTCCATAGATGCCTACCATGAGATAAACAAATCTGATTCGAGGGTGAAAACTGAATGTGAGTGTTGTATGACTCATTAAGCTGGAGGCTGAAAATGCTAACAAAATAGAAACAAAGATTCAGCTGCAAAAGTCATACAAACAAGAAAACATGATAAGAGAGAAAAATGAATATAGGGATATTTACAGAAAAGGACCATCTCTATTCCTTATTAGTTACAGTCTCAGTGAATGCAGCTGGTCATAATGTAGAAAACCAGACTTTTAAACGATTATACTGAAACAAACATCAAAACACAAGCCATTGCAACATTTACACTAATGCTTAAATTTGGAGACGCATTAGCCCAGCCCAGTTACTTAGGTGATAATAATAAACCCCAGTAAATAGTTTGAATCGGCTGATTTAAGCGTCAGTATCGAACATTTATTTTGCTGAAAGCATTGTGATATTACTTTTCTATTGAAGAAAAAAACAATGCTTAATTGATTTTGTTTTCCCCAATATTTCTACCTAATTGATTTACATGATTTTTAACTTCATGATTAACTGCAACCACAAAAACATTTCTTGAGTACAAAATACAAAATTCAGGAACATTTTCTTAATGTGATAAATTAATTTGTTTTTGGATCACTTTTTTTGTGTAAACTAATTTTTAATATTATACTGGCTCCCCTCCACAACGTCCATGATGTGGGTCTAGATGGATCTTCATCTAGTTGTTGATATTTTCTTAAGAACATCAAGATTGTAGCTCCCATGTATTTCAGTTTGATTTGTGTGTGATATGAATATGATGTGAAAAGTCAGTCCTTTACACAATTCCTGGATCCACATGAGGAATCACCTCCGGCAGAGCATATCCAATTCAACACAGATGTGTATATTCTAGAAGTTGCTGAAATTGACTGTTTCAGAATATTTAAAGTGTGATCTCAAGAAAACAAAATTCTCATGTGTAGAACAAACACGGGTTACTTGGCGAATATAAAGTGCAGAAGACAGAAGAACGTGAATTTATCAATGTCAAAGAAACTTAGTGTCACTGACGTTGGAAAACATAACTAGTGTGGTTTAAAAGGAAATAAAAAGCGAAGAAACTGTTGGAGTGAAACTCTTATGTCATCGCAACAAGCTTCTTTTCTTGAAACCATTATTTTGTACACATCCTTTTAAGGTGACTGATGTAGTTAATTAGGAAGTGTGCTTTAGTGCATTCAATTAAATGCTTCAGGTGAGTTTCAGCTGAGTCAGCTGAGACTTTGCCACACATTCATGACCACATCCAATTTTTCTGTGGTGTCTAACATCCATCTGCTCTCAGCTACATCAGCAAGCTTTCTTGTCCATCAAGCAGTCTCAACCAGTGTCAGACTGGATTCTCCATCAGCTCCCGATGACTCGTTGAAATCCTCTTCATTTTCCTCCTCATCTTCCCCTTCAAAGATTGCAGTCATGGGGGCTGCAACAAGGCGGCAGCGGGCGGCAAAGCGGCGGCTAGCCGAGCAGGGAGGAGTGAGGGAGCGAGGGCGCGTGGAGGAGGATGAGAGGAAGAAGAAGGGAGAGGAGGAAGAAGATGAGAAGAAGAGGTTATTATGTGGCAGATCCTGTTGCCTCCATTCCAACATCATGGAGAAGCTCTGAGCACATGGAGATCTGGGAGGTTGCTGAACATTAAGAGTCAGGTGGGCAGTGATGTCATGTGTTTCTCCAGTTTGGAGGGAGCTTGTGGAGTTTACTTGGTCTGAGGATATGTGAGGTGGTGGTGCACCATGAAGGTCAGCTGCTGCAGTGGGAGAAATAACTTTCCGAAGTCGCTCAACTGCTGAGATTCGAGATGAAGAATCAGGTCGACTGCCCTTCCTCAGCAGGAGAGCCTTAAAGCTCTCACTTCTTGCTGACCTTTGACTCTTGAGTGCTGCAGGTCGCATTAGCTGGTCAGTGGGAGTCACCGGAGGGGAGGGGGAGGAGGAGGAGCTCGAGACACGATGTTTGTCTTCTTCTAGATCCCTTCTTCCAAGCATCTTCCTCTTGGACCTGACAGAAATGTGACAGAAAACAGTGAACAATAGTAACTGTATATTTAGAAGCTACATGCACTGAATTACATGGCCACAAGAGAGTTGCTCTATTTTAAAAGTTTCTAGTTAACATCAAGAGGCAACTTCTAGAAATCTGAAAAAATCTAATAGACAACAAAGACATAGGTTCCTAAGAATATGTTTAATATATACATAAACAATGACATGACAGGAATGGAAGGGAACTTGGATTGAAGCACTTTTGTTTCTCAAGTATAGGAGAAGCTAATTAGCTGGGGGATCAAAGAACAAGTAGACGAAGTAGATATCTTACATTTAGTGTCTGAGGAGGAACAGGTTGCGAGTTTACCAGTGATTATGTTTTTGACTACATTATCTTGGTATCTGTCGGAGGTTTGAACCTACTTGTGGCTTTGAGAACCAGACAATGTCTGGAGATAGTTTTGTACCCTCTACCGTGTGTCGTACTGCTTGATGTTATCATACCTTTGTTTCCTTACCTCCCCAGCAGGAAAGATGTATATTCCTGCCAGTGGCTTACATTCCCAAACTGACTTTCTCGGTCTGTAATTATTGTGTATACATGAATACCAATGATCCCTGACTCCTCCAGTCTACATGCCAAAGTATCCTTGGGCAAGATACTGAATGCCAAATAACTTTTGATGCATCCATCTGAGTGTGAATGGGTGTGCTTGAAGGCATAGAACAAAGTACTGAATGAATGTGTTTGTGAATGGGTCGCTGAGGCTTGTGGATAAAAGGGATTTGAGTGCTCAGTTAGAATAGAGAAACACTATATACGTACTACTACTAAATCTCTGGATTCTTTGACAGCTACAACTTATTCCTATTTGGGGCAACAGGGAATAAGGAAGAACTAGTTTCTATGTATAATAGGAGAATAATAATGACACTACACACTTAGTGACTAATTAAAGGCTTTACCTGTAGACAAACCCCAACTACCAGGGCATTCATGCTGTCCCTTCCCATACAGCACTGCTCCATAGAGTAAGAGGTAGAATTCAAACCAACAAGTGAGGATGTGGTTTAAAGGATTTTACAGAACAAGTGCATAGTATACATTTTGTGTTCCCACCTGTGAATGATGGTGAATAGATCCTCTGTGGTTCGCGGACAACCAGAGATGAACATCTGATCTGCTGAAACGCTGCCAAACACATCAGCTGGGAAGGAAAGGACAGTGAAAAAAAACTGAACTTCAATTATTCATTTAACAGTTCAGTTGAACTGAAATTGAAATGATGAAGATTACAATAATAATAATGGATTGCATTTATATACGACTTTTTGAGAACCTCAAAGCACTGTACAATTCCATTATCCATTCACTCTCACATTCACACACTGGTGGAGGCAAGCTACAGTTGTAGCCACAGCTGCCCTGGGGCAGACTGAATACAAGAGCAAGAATAATTATTTATTTATTATTTATTTTCCAATAATAATTATTAAAGATACCTGTATGCTCCGAAGATGACATTCACAGACATGATACTGCGGTATATAAGTTCCTATGTATGTAAGTTCCTATTGAGCTGTAGTCTGACTGAACCACATGCTGTACCTTATCTGCATATTTTTGTCTACTCTCACAGCTTGTTTGGGCAGGAAACTTGGCCCACTTTGCTTCACACCTGCACAAACTAAAGCTCTGCCTACATTTACTGAATGACTACTAAGGCAGATACTGGGGACAGCTAATACAGAAAATGCTTACTTAGTTTCACCAAGGACTCCATAAATTATATATTTGAGCATTTGGTGAACAATAAACAGGGATCTATAAATATTAGCTGCTATAATGCATAATAGGCTCACCACAATCTGAATTGGATAGGTTAAGAAGCAGGATCTGTGGTCTTGATAGAACTTACCATCCTGGGGACTGCTAGCCTCCTTTGATTTTTCTCCTCCTCTCAGAGCTCCGGGCTCGTCTTGTTTTTCACCTGGCTCTTGTATGAGAAGGTCTGGTAGTGACAGTTCACCCCGCAGGCTGTCAGTGGACAGTGCGCTGCTGAGAGAGTACCTGCTCTGACCAATCAAACTGAAGGAGCTTTCAGAGTCACTTGTGTCTTGGTCCCAAACTTTAGTAACTTTCATCTTCTGGCTTATTTGGATTGTCCTGTCTTTTCTTACATCTCTCTCATCTCCAGATGAGGATGAAGAGGATGACGAGGATGATGAAGATGATGAAGATGATGGGGAGGGTTCCATTTTTGCTGAGATCATTAGCAGCTGCCTGCCTGGCCTTTTCTTCTTCTTTTTCCTTCCTTTGTCTTTTTTCTTTGTGGTGGATGACATCATCATCATCCTTGCCATGTTAATCCTTCTCTCTTCCAAACTTTCCTTAATATCTTCCTCTTCATCTTCAGCTAGTGATGACCTCATCATTCTCCTCTGAAATGATGTATCATCTTGATAAAGTTTTGTTTTGATATCACCACAACTGGGGTGTGTTACTTCAGTTTGGGTGCCCTCAGTCCATGTGGAAGTAGTTCCTTGGCCCTTTGAGTTCCCTAATGTGCTACAGGTAGCCATTCCCATGATCCTTGAGGAGGCGCAGGTTCTATACATTTCCATGGCTCCTAGGGAGTAGTTGGTCTTTAAGGTATCCAAGGTTTCATTCAAAGTGTTTCGAGCCATTGTGGTCCCGGTGCCTATGGTTTTCAAGGTGCTACTGCTAGCTGTGATGCACAGACTCTGTGAAGCACCTCCAGTCCCAGAGGTCCCCATGGAAGCCCCTCCTGTAATTTTAGATGGAAAGAGTGGTTTGGTTGTTTTGGGTGAGGTCAGTGAGAGATCTGGTCTCTTGTGCAAAATTGGTGTTTTTGTCCGTTGAGGGGAGCTGGCAGGTGAGTGCATGGTGATATTGGCAGATGTTGTGTTAATTGGGCATACAGGTGTCACTGAGTTATCACTGGTGGACACCAAGTGCTTTGGTGAAGGGGGACTATGGATCACATGTTTGTGTAAAGGTGTGCAGAAAGAATCATCAGGAAACTGTGACTGGCTGTTGAACCCTGGAGAAAATGCTGTACTTTGTCCATTGCTCCTCACCACATTGAGTTCTCGTGTGGCGTTGGGGGATGTTGTGAGACCCAGAATGCAAAGATCAGGCTTCTTTGGTGGAACTGGCTTCTCTGGAGAGCAGATCTTTCTTGGGCTACTTGGCTTCAAGTCCCTGTTACAGTGTTTAATATCAACATGCTTCAAATCTCCATCAGCAGCACAGAGTGACTGCATTTGTGATTTTTTCTTGTCATTTTGCTCGACTTCCTCTTTGCTCTCTAACAGCATTTTTCTGCATTCTCTTTGAATCTCTGCAAGTTCTTTGAGCTTAGCATCTGTTAGCACTGTTCCTATAATGTTTCGTTGGAAAGACGTAGGTTGACTTATTGTGCTGACATGGTTATTGTCAGTTTCATAAGACATTTTTACCCATGGACTCTTAGAACTGGAGATTTCATTGTTAGCTAGTGTAGCATACATGTCTGAATCTTTCTTTCTCTGTTCACTGGACTGTCTGCATTGAGGAGTGCCACCATTCCTCAGCTGAAGCCCAAGACTTCTCTTGCTAGCAGTGTTATGAATAATGCTTTGTGAGCTTTGAAGATTGTTGAAATCTGATTCATCTGCCAAAAGCTCTGTTTTTGTTTGTTTGAAGAAATCATCACCTGATTCATGTTTAGGTTGTTTCATTTCAGCATTGTCTGGGCTGTGAAGGCTAGCATTATCCAAGGATGCACTAGCTGTATTATCGTCATTGTTGGCAACATAACAGATATCGTTTTCTGATCCTTGTTCCGCTAGGTTAACACTGGTGTTGGATAGGCAAACAAGGTTTCCTTTAGTCAAGTCAGCCAAGTAGTGTTGAGCTTCTTTGATTGGTAGATCCTGGTTACCATGGTTACCAACAGACAACAAAGCGCCATCATCAGTAGATGTACCATTGGCTGGCAGGACTTCCTGGTTCTTAATAGAGCGGAGTTTGACGTCCTGCAGAGCTTGAGCAGTTACCAGAGGGCAGGGGTGTGCTTTGCCATATTTGTGTGGAAACGCGTCCGGGCTTGGTCGGGAGACGACAGAGGCAAAAGGTGTGGGGACAGCAGACAAAGGAGGGAGAGGGGGAGGTGGTGGTGGTGGAGGGAGGTCAGCAATTGGCATGTCTGGGAGTTCTGAACATGGGGGAGGAGGGGGAGAAGTTGGGGGAGGAGGGAAGTTGGTGGAAGATGACACTGTAAATACCAGATCATGATGGGAAGTCTGCCTGACAGCGTAGGAGTAGGGGGGAGGAGGAGGCCGGGAGAAGGGAGGTAGAGGAGAAGGCTTGGCAAGGGATAATGGTGGGAGAGGAGGCGGTGGAGGGGGCAGAGGAAGGGATGATGGTGAAGGAAGAGGAACAAGAGAAAGTTTAGTGAAAGAACAAGGAGCAGGTGAGCAGGACTGCAGTGGAGGAGGAGGGGGAGGAGGAAGAGTTTCATGAATGGGAGAGCAGGAAAGTGAAAGCAAAGAAGACTCGAGAAGAGGAGGCCGAGGTGGTGGGGCAGGAAGATTAATATGTTTGGCAGAGGAGTCTGAGGAGGTGCAGGAGGAGAGGGAAGAGGTTGAAGAAAATGAGGACGAAAGGGATGAGAAAAGTGAAGACTTCCTCTCTGGCACTGGTGGCTTTGGTCTGCCTTCACCTCGAGACCTTGTCCTAGGCAGGGAGGATGCGACAGGGGAGAGGGGGAAGGAGGTAAAGCAGGAAGAGGAGAAAGGTGAGGTTGGGGGGAGGGAGAAAGCTCCAGGACTTGTTGTGAGAGGGGAGGATGGGATGAGGGGTGAAGACACTGGCGTGCCAGGAGTTGGAGTGTTAGACTGACTAGAGTACCCACTGGAGGGCGAAGCAAGTCGCTGAAGCCCAGGCACAGAAGAGGAAGCTGGAGGTTGGCGATTGAGAGTAAAAGTCAGACCTTCCTCCTCTGAACCTGGAGACCCAGGGCTGAGGTGAGTTGGTTCGAGGTTGGAAGGAGGAGAGTCAGAAGAGGTTGATGCCTGGCAGTCTGGGTTTAGAGGCTCAAAGGTTGAAACTGTACCACAGTTAAGCCCACTTTGGCGTCTTTTGGTGCTACTTCGGGGCACCCAGGGATCCTGAAAGTTCTGGGGAGATGACGCAGGTGTGTGCTGCATGGTGCGTTCCAGGCGGGGACCGCGCTCCACCTTGGGACTAGAAGAAGAACGCGAAGATTTGCTACGACCTGGCCGTCGCCTCAATGAATCAGAACGCAACGGTGGAGGAGGTGGACGCTTGGACTTGCGAAGGGAGATGCTGCGGGTGACAGAACGAGAGTAGCAGGAGGATGTGCTTGACTTCCTTTTCTCACGGTTTAGCGAGGGAGAGGACATCTTCACTGAACGCAAGGAGCTGCTATCAGTGCAAGAAGGGGAGGACCGACCAGAAGAGAGAAGTGGATCGAAGTTCCAACCTTCATCAGAAACACATCTCATTTCCTGGGAAATTCCACTGTGGACACTGGAGGTTGGAGAGAGGGTTTTGTAGCTCCACCTCTCTCCAGTCAAGGAACAACCATCTGAGAAACACTGGGTGTCCTGCTTTGTGGTTGTCAGGTCATCCTCTGCTGGGTAATGAAACTGAGTCTCTGAATCAGTGATAGGGGAAGAAGGAAGAGAGCCGGGGGAAGAAAGGGCCTCATTATTGGGCTTATCACTGGGGGAAGCCCACTCTGTTTGTAGGGCACAACTAGAGGTTGCAGGGACAGATGATATAATAGGTGAGGAGGGAACGGAATTAGAGGAGGAGGAAGGAGACTGTGGCATTACTCTGGCAGTGGGGTCAAAGGGCAGCAGAGGGTGAAGATCACTGGGGAATCCCTGTAGATCCTGTGACTGGAAAAGAAAACAGGAATAAAAAAGAGAAAAATTATTTAAAATGTGCTCCAGGCATTTCTAATTTAGCATAACTTGGTTTCCTCAAAAAGCCAGTATAGTAAATTTAGTGTGAAAATCCAAAGTATCTGATGCTCTTCTATTGCTTTGATATTTCTCTTCTACCCAGCCGACAGTGAGCAACAGTAACTTAAAAATTTAGAAAGGTCAACAAATGAAAGGCTCTGAGCCCATGACATACTCTCAGCATCTGTAGGACATTCTGTTCATTGGGGACATGTTTGGAGTCTAATAATAATAATGGATTGGATTTATATAGCGCTTTTCAAGGCACCCAAAGCGCTTTTCAATGCCACTATTCATTCACTCTCACATTCACACACTGGTGGAGGCAAGCTACGGTTGTAGCCACAGCTGCCCTGGGGCAGATGACAGAAGCAAGGCTGCCATATCGCGTCTATCGGCCCCTCTGGCCAACACCAGTAGGCAGGAGGGTAAAGTGTCTTGCCCAAGGACACAACGACCAGGACAGAGAGCCCGGGGATCAACCGGCGACCTTCCGGTTACAGATACGCTTCCCAACCCCCTGAGCCACGGTCGCCCCACAAGTTCTGAACTGTCTTCCCTCTGGCCTATGTTGGCTGACATTAGCATGCCAGTCATCTGGAAACTCCTTCAATTTATGCTTTGACTTTATTAGTGTAATAATAACTTCTGATTAATTTACCTGGTAGCAAGATGAGGAGGTGCTGAGAGTCCTGCAGGATACACTGTTACAACTGGCCTCGGAATTCAGGGAGGAGTTGGTTGCCGGACGGGGGAGGGTGTGGCTCTCCAAGGATGGTGAGCAGCAGGAGCTGGAATGGCAACCAATATGTGGCGAAGAGGTAAGGGAGGCCATGAGGCTGGACATTCCCTCTCCTTTAGGGGCTCGGATTCTCCTTGTTGACAGCTGCTCTTCTTTTCTTAGATCTCCCTTTTCCTCCACCTCCATGTTCCTCTGCTGATGAGGAGTGGTACATTCAGATGCAGGTCGACCCACAGTGGAGAACTGACCAGGAAGAACGTCAGAGATAGATGGTGACTTCGGGAGGGCATTATCTGGTATCCCAGTAACTGTCTTGCGTCGGCTCAATTTCCGGGGTCGTCGGTTTAGTGAGTCAGCATTGGAAAGTGTTCTTCGAAAACTGGCTTGGCGATCAAAACTCTCACCTTAAGTGTGAACACATACAAAAAGGTAACAGTCAAGACATGAGAAACCAAGTGGCTACTCCGAATCCAAGTTTAGCCTATGAGTCCTGCTGTAGTTTACTTAAACCTCACATCATATCCTAACTCTGATGTTTCCCGTTAGTTACTTAGAGTCCTGATAAAATCATATGTCCCTTTAAGGTCTTCAAGATAAGCTTCTGTTGAAAGAAAAAATCTCAGTTCCAAGTAAGATCTAAAGCTATAGTGGATAGTTATACAGTTATTTAACAAAAGCTAATCAAGTTTCTGTGAGAGCAGAATCCAGATGAAAATGGAGGCAATGTACCTCCGATTTCAACTCCTGGTCCAGAGTTAATTCTGAAAAGGCTAAAGGTAATTTACCAAGTCCCAAGATTTGGGTGAGTTAAATTGAAGTAAAGCCTCAAGCCTAAGAAGAACTTCAAGTTGGATTTGGGTCTCATTAGATTACTCTAACTTATATTTCAAATCTGAGTCCTATCCAGACTCCAGATTTTAAGATTTAAGGCATGAATCAAGATGACAAAAGCTTTCTGGTCTGCTCTAAATTAGAAGAACTCCCTATGAAGACCAAACTGATTTGAGCCTGAGAAAAATTTAAAGGTAAATCTCGAGTTTATGTCTCAGTCTATTTTTGAAACCAGATGCAAGTAGAAATTCAGTGTAGACAATATGGCAGAAATAAATTTAAAGTTTTAGATGAGTTTCAATAGTAAGTTCAGAGTCCTTACAAACAGAATCTGGATCTGAGTCCAGCTGTACCTGTTACATTAATAGGAACAATATCTGCTGCGACTGCTTCGGCCTGCTGCCTCATCCTCTCCTCCGGCGTTGGAAGTCGAGGGGGCGGTTCCACATCCATTTCGACTTTTGGCTCATATGTTTGCTCATCATCATCCCAACAGGAGGTGAGATGGACGGGATTCAGGACCAGTGGTGTCAGGGGTCGCCTGTTGTTCAAGATGAACATCTCATCTTCCTCTGAGGATGTTGTGGACTGACAAAAAAAAGAGGCAGAAATTAACAGTTTGGTCTACAAATTGAGTTTTAATACAGTTAAATCTAGTCCAGCAGCGTTGGGGTCTAATCTAGCCTGGAAGGGTCAAATTAAGACTTTGTCGACTGTTAGGGTAAAAAGCCTGTTTGGGTGTAACTGAGATGCTGCCCTACTTTAATTTTATCTAATCTAATGTACTACAGACATGTTTATTCCATGTTTACCTTTCTTCTCCAAACTGAAAACTTGAAACAAACTGAAAAGCAAGACTTAGAGAAAAAGTCCAAGACTCTGGACCTCTGAGGAGGGTTGTGAACATGAGGGAAGGATCAAAGGATAAGAAAAACAATTAAAGGAAAGGTTAATCATTGAGTATAACAAATAGATGGCAGAAGATGTGTCAGTGCTTCAGTTTGACCAGCAGATGGAAATAAAACACAAAGATTCTGCACTGATTGCACAAACAGAAAAAGATCCAGAACACACCAAACCAAATGTCTGTAGTTTTAAATCAGGAAACTGGATTGAAAAATAAACAATGAAAATATATAAAACTCCAGGCTCCTTTAAATATATGGGGAAACAAAGGGATTCTTGTCCTTTAAGAAGCCGTTGTCTTGTATTTTACAGTGTGGCAATAAAAATAGCTTAAAAAATTACCAATAACAATTATTCTTTTATTCTTTCAGATGTAATGGTGAGCATGCTGGGCTGATATAATTGAGTTCCCGGGCCATGAGTAAGAGACACCGAACTGGTAGCGCTGGTGTCATTGTCTTCAGCCCCAATAATATATATCACTACATCTGTATAAACATCTTCACATGTTTCTCACCATCTTCCTGCTTTTGTCCCTCCACCCTCGTCGTGCGGTTCCGTCTGATTGGTTGATGCTGGAGAAGGGAGGAAGGGTGGGGCTGGGGGGGTGGGGCTGAGAACCACTTGGGATGCTGCAGTCATGCTGAGTCAGCCCATTACATGCTACAAACACACCATGATGATAGAAAATAGTGAGTTGAGTACATGAGAATGATTGTGGACTGTGTGAGCTTTGCTGCAGTGATCAGCTGAGATCAGCAGGAGAGCTCAGCCTTCGTCATTTATGCTTTCTCACAGTGACATGTGGCACTGCAGCTGCTGCGAAGCTGCAGAGCGTGCTGCATGCAGACCCCTGCAGCACTCTGCAGTCTGCTCACAGGCTGCTGTCACCTCTAAGCTTAATTACTTCTCTGATAAGCATCAAAGAACCAGGATTTATGGCCTCAAGCGAAGGAAACTGATCATTTATAAAGCTTAAGTACTTCATTGAAAATTTATGGAATCAAACACAGTGTAAAAGGCCTTTATTGCTCAGCAGCTATAAAAACAGACAGAAGGCTGTTTATCAGGACTGATGGCTGATTGAGAATATACTGCAGATTTCAGAGACATAAACATTTAAAGAGCAAATGATGAGGATCTCTTTGAACAGGCAGCTGCTTTTGCAGTCTTTCCTGGCAGACTTGTTGGTGTAAACACCCAAACAATGTTAGCCTTAGCGACATGACAGTGTTATAAACAGTTAGCGATCTGCCACTGCAGTGAGGAAGACTGTGAGTTTTCCACCTTCAGCCCATAAAGAACAATATCAAGAGTGGAGAAGAGTACGTATTCTTTCAGCAGCAATTCTGTGAGTGTGTCAGGTCAGAAGGTCACTGTCTGCTGGCATCTGTCAGCCAATGCTAATCCTACAGGACACACACACACTTAGGACTCGAGGTTTGTGTGTAACAGACTTCTGAGGCTCTGGGGGTTCACACACTTCTTGAACTTGACCCAAAATAATTTTCAATTTTCTTTTTTAATTATTTTACACAATATATAATATGACATAAGGAAGACAACAAATAGGGAAAAACACATTTATTATTTATTCATTAATTTACTGTAAAAATGTAACTTAAATATTTTCAATTTGTTTAAATGCTTATAATCTACTTATTGATCAAAAATCTTTTCCATCTGGGTCTACATCCAAGAATGGATACAGATACAATCCATTAACTCACACTGTGAATGTTTTCTGAAGCAGACGTCATTTAGCCTGACCAGATGCTCCATGTCATTCATATGTCCGACTTCCTGCCCTCCTCATCTGCTCTGTGCGGCTTGAAAGGACTTATAATTAACTTGGATTGCAGAGCCACTTCAGAGATGCTTCTACAATGTGGAGCAGTGGTTTTAGTGTTTTCAGTCATTTCTACCGCAGCCGCATTGCAGTTTCTCCTCATGGGACTCAGGTATTATTGATCGAGTTTATACACAGACTTCTTTAAGTGAACGTCTCAGTTCACAAAACAGTCTGATTGCTGTTCTGGACTGGTTCAAAGCTGCACCCTGTCTGTTCACTTCTTCTTCCTAATTTAATCCAGGCTCTCTAAATATTTGAGTTAATGAAGGTTCTCTCCCCCTCTCTGTAACCAGAGCTGGTAATTCTTGATGTCAGTAAACATTTTTTTTCATTGGTTTATGGTCTCAATAGCTACTTTTAAGTCTTATTGAAGATAACATGGCGTTCCTTTTGGAAAGTATGGTTCCATTAGAGTGAGACAGGACCAGAAATCAGGGAAGGATTTAAAGTGTGGCTACTTATTTTCATCTAGAGACTTTCTCAAGTCTCTTAGCATTACTCTAAATGTGTTTCCCCACAGATCCAGTTAATCTCACATTTTTGTAAGGTTAACTGATGAAACACTAAAGTACCACTCTCACCTCGCAGGTCATCAGCACTGCCTGATCGCCTTTTGCCAGGGATGAAGCGCAGACCCTGCTGAGGCTTCTGGGTAGTGTAGTGAACAGACCACTTACTGTCCCCGTCCCCTGCAGCACAAACAAAGACAGAGAGAGAGAGAGGGAGAATGAGGCTACTTTCTGGATTTTAATCTTGTTTCAGCAAATCTTTTCACACTCAGAGGGGCAGTGATGATGAGAGCTGCTGCACTCAGCACTATTCAAGGTGACCTCCACATCACAGGGCTTTTATTGTGAAAGAGCTGCAGATTGACTGTCTGTGGTATTCAGTGGACAGATGTATGGACAGATGTGGAGCTTGAGTCTCAGCCTTCTGCATTCTGCAATGTATGTCAGGACCAAAAACACCTCTTATAATACAAAGTAGGAATTTCTTACAATAACTTATGAATGATTTTGTTTTTCTGCACTGACAGCGCTTTTTGTTTTGTTTTAGTCATTCATCTCATCCTAATAATATTCAAAAACAAGAGAGAAAAGATAATTTGTTCCCATTAATCAACCACATCTCTCTTTAACCGCATGATCCAAGTCATCACTGATGAGTGATGGCCGATTGTTTATGTTCTGTTGTCATTCAAAAGACAAGTAAATAAACACCATTACATTTTAATCAAGAAAAGGTTATTTTATTTTTTCGTCTGAACACAGCCTTAGAGGTTTAAACCAAACAATGGAAACAAACATTACGGGGACTGAAATGGCGATGCAGGAAGCTCCTGAGATCCTTGAAGGAATGCCAAAGTCCTTGAGAAATATGAAAGATTATTTAAGATGTAAATATGGTCCTTGAGATTTTGTGTGTTTTGGTGGGTTCTTTAGAACAAGCATGCAGAGGCTGAAATATGAAAATACATTCAGTGATTGGCAGTGGTCCGATAAACACTTTAGACAGTTCCAGAAGTGTCAGAAGGTATTTTGGGTTTTCGAGAAGCATCAGTGGTGCTTGAAGTTCTAAAACATTAGAGATTCGATATAAGGCTTGCGGGGTTTTCACTGGCTCTGAAAAAGAAGATGCAATTCTTCTAGGAAGGCATAAACAGTCTTTACGGGTTCCAAGTAATCCTCAAGGAGGTCTGACAAGTTGTGACAGTTTTTAAGAAGGGACCACAGGTGTTTGAGAAGATTTAGGGAGTCCTGTGGCAGGTTCTTGAGGAGGTTCTTTATGTTAGAAGGAGGCCCTTGATGAAGCCATAAGAGAATTACAGGAACCACCAAGGAGAATGATAAAGAGACCATCCTGATTCTTGAGGTGCTTCTGCTGGTCCTTGATATGAACCTGAAGAAGCTTGGTAGTTCTTAATTGGGTCCCAGAAGTTCTTGGTAGGTAGTGGTCCTTGACCAGGCAGTAGACATCTGTGGCAGATTCAGTGGGTCATTGCAAATGTTCCAGTGATTCAAGCTGCTCTTGTATGTTGAGGACATAATAAATGTCCACACTGATCATCAAGAAGATACTATGGTTGCTTAATTATTTTTTCCAATTGTTGTTGAGAAATAACACAGGTCTGTAAAGAGATTTAAATTGTTCTTGAGGGCATTCTAGAGGTCACTACGAGGTTATAAAGCTCTGAATAACTTTTCCGAGAGTCCTTGTGGAGATTCCAGGGGTCCACAAGTCAAAAGCCTTTAAATAAGCCTATATTGTTCTTGAAGAGTTTCTGGGGGTTACTGGTTAAAGGGTTAAAACCTCGAGAAGACATCCTAAGGGTCCTTGTGGAGATTCCAGGACCCCTTGAGAACACAAATGCCAAAAAAGTCTTTAAATGATCCCTAAATTGGGTTCTTGAAGTCAGTAAGATTATTACAAGGCATTTAAAGACAGTCCTGGAGACCTTGAATAGGGTCTCTAATGTTTTAGACTATAGTTACAGGTAATATAAACTCACATTTCAAATGCTCATTAAACTGCTGATCTAAACTACGTTTGACATGATTTTTACATGTAGCTGAGAGCCAATCAGGGGGTGGTATCTATGAGGTCATCTTTAGAGAGCTATAACTCACTCTACCTGTACAGCTCAAAGGTAAATTAATCCCTCGCCAATACAGCGGCACTCACCTCTGGTCTTACTGAGATATCTGAGGACAGATTTGATTGCCGTTCCGATCAGAACCATAACGACGCCACACACTCGTTTAGACACACACACCGACACACACACTCCTGAGGCTGCAGCAAACAGAAAGAGAGCGGGCGAGCAGCAGCAGTAATGCAGCTCGACTCGCTGCAATGCTACTCTCCTCCCACTCCTCTCTCTCTTATTCTCTTTTTATGTCACTCGCTCCCCCCTCTTTCTTCTTTTCTTTTCTCCACACACACACACACCGTTGGCAGGAAGCCAGTACACGTGTGTGTCCTTCATGTGTGTCGCCAGGTGATGAAGGTTACCCGCAAATACCGCATTATCACAACGACACATGAAACATGATGCTTTGTAGATGAAGAGAGATGAAGAAACAGAATTCAAAGTGTGTCCGCGCCTCTGATGTATCCCTGTTCATCTTTTATTCTCTGTGTTCTCATGTTTCTATCTTTGTGAGGTCCAAAGAGAGTGAGGACATGCTGTCAAAGTGTGGACATCAGCCTTGACATCAGCATCTGAGGGATAAAATGAGGAAAAATGCCAAAAAAAACAAACAAAAAACAAAAACACCAAAAAACCTTCAGGGTATAACAGGTGCTAATGCACAAAGAGATAACCGCATCCAGTATTTGAATAGATGCAGGTGGTGCATATTTCATGTTTTTACAGTCAGATCTGTATATATTTTTAACAATAACCTTTCAAAAGAATGATATAAATACAGCAGAATACAATTTTCTTGTTCATCCATCCATCCATCAATCCATCCATCCATCCATCCATCCGTCTTGTGGTGCTTTTCTGAATGTGGGGCAACAGTCTATGTAGAAAAGCCCAGATCTCCTTCTAACCAGCCTGCCATCCAGGTCTTCTGGAGTGACGGCACGGTATTCTGAGCTAGCTTTACAAGAGACACTAAATCTCTCTGGGATGACCAAGCTCCTCATCCTATTTCTAGCAGAAAGCCCAGACAGCCTGAGAAGGAAATAATTTCCCTGCTTATATCTGTGATCCCATTCCTTTGGTCACTGACCACAGTTCATAGCCATAGGTGGGGATGGGAAGGTAGATGTAGTAACTCTAGAGCTTCGCTTTCATATTCAGCTCTCTCGTCACTGCAATAGACTGTAAAAACATCTGCATCACTGCTGCATCAATCCATCTGTAGTCTATTACTCCTTCCTAGCCTCGATTATGAACTAGACCCCAAAATAACTCCACCATTTAGTGCAGAAGCCATTCCCAGCCTTGAATCGCCCCACCACACTTTTCTGACTGAGAACCATGACATCATGGAGACTTGTTTTTTAAAATTTGTAACATATTGTTAAAATGCCTACTTGTCTTAGTAGATGTGTTTAGTGGACATAGCAGGGGTAACTTGTACACTCCTGAAGGTTTTATTAATCCTTAATAAATATCCACAGGTTTTGGGCTACATACCATATATTGCCATGAAGATGGTGTCTTTTTCAGGTAAAGCATTGCTTATTTCAACAAGAACATCATTCTTTAACTGTCATTCCTTATGGCCTAGACACTGGCTAATGTCAGTTTCATAGTTTTCGTGACAAAATGTTGGCATTTTGTCAAATTTTGTGGAATTGTTTTTTTCCTTTTTCTTTGTTTTTAGGGAAAATCTTGCTTTTCAGCAAGACTATATTCTGCACATATTCCAACAGCAGAACTCCACAGTAAAAACGTGTGCAACCCTAAGTATTTGTGGTAACACTGGCCATGGCTGATAGAGTTGACAGTCACCTTCATCATCACCAACTGGGACAGTTCCAGTCTGTAACTGTGCCGACTATGTGGGCCAGTGGAGCAGCTAATTACCGTCTTCATGGCTGACAGCCTGTCTGTCTGTCTTCACCTTCTCACTGTTTTAATTAGTTTCATTAATTAGACAGTAAGTAGGACACACTATCATTATGTCATAGTCTTATATATAGTTGGAATCTGTTAAACTCTGAACTCTGTCAGCTGTCCAGTCAGGAAAGAGGAAGGATGAGGACAGAGTCACGTACCACTGACTGATTGATGCTCAGTTTTCTTTGTTTTAACATTATAAATGCTGAGACGTCACCACAAAGGCAACATGAGGGCGGGATACTGAAGGTAGATGTTAGGAAGCTAACAGGTAGCAGCTGTTGCAGCTAAAAAGCCTGTTCATTATCTGTTATTCGTGGAATTAGCTTTTAGGCCAATGCGTGGAGCGGCAGCTAATCCTTGCACACACACACACACACACACATGAAGAAGATTATGCACACAGGGGAGATAATTAACCAAGAATATGGAGAGCTGGTGTGATTTTCTTCTGCATATTATCAGAGAATAATAGCTGACTGGTGCTGTGATGCATTATTGATCAGACAGTCACACAGTGTGTGTGAAAGTGTGTTTACTCTGCCACAGGAGACGTGCAGGCACTGAGTTGCTGCTCTAATATTCTCATTTAAAAATGGAGAAACTGTGAGGCAAAGACTGAACCAAACTGGGACGAGCTAATCTGGAAGATTTTATTGTATCACACTTTAATTTTACTGATACCACTAATTATGAATATCTGCCGTGAGAAATCTCTTCCCAAGTCATCCAGGAGCAAACTGAATTTAGTTTAAGTGGATCCTAGTCTGCCCTGATGAGAAGAAACACATAAAAATTTGTGCGAGATTTAGAACGAAAGAGAGCCAGATAAAGCCATCTTTCTATATTGAAATGGATAAAAAAGAATAGCTGAAGACATTCAGGACCCCAAAGAGTTATGTCAGACAAACTTAGATAATTTGGGACAAGACTAGTGGCTAAAAAACATCAAATTCAAAACATTCATAATATCAAAGAACCAAATAAACCAAAACAAAGTAACTACTCCAATTTCACGTCTTGATGCATGCTCAATCATCCAGGAAAGTAAATCTCCAAAAAGTTGATTCTGGATGTAGCGTTTTGTGGGAGAAACGTTTCGTCACTCATCCAAGTGGCTTCTTCAGTCTCAGCTGACTGCAGGTTTCCCCAAACTTATAAACAGTACATTTGCATAATGACTGAAACCAGCCCACTAAAGGAACAATGGGCTGGGAGGTCAGTTCCTTAATCATAATTATACAAATTCTCATGACCATTGATCAACAACCACTGACCAAAACCCACTGATCAAAGACCACTGAATGGTCCAGAGATGATCAAAGACCATCTCTGAATTGAGGAGGGGGCCTAAGTGTCCATCTTTCACCATCTTACAATGCTGTGATTGCAGCCATTCCCCAACTCTCTGTGAATGGTACTCATGGCCATTGATCAGTGGTTGTTGATCAATGGTCATGAGAATTTGTATAATTATGATTAAGGAACTGACCTCCCAGCCCATTGTTCCTTTAGTGGGCTGGTTTCAGTCATTATGCAAATGTACTGTTTATAAGATTGGGGAAACCTGCAGTCAGCTGAGACTGAAGAAGCCACTTGGATGAGTGACGAAACATTTCTCCCACAAAACGCTACGTCCAGATGAACAGAATCAACTTTTTGGATACTCCAATTTAAGACTATATCAAACCAAAACACGACAGGTGAGAACATCCAGGGCTTTATAACGCCAAACTAGGTGAGTTACTATTATTTGTTACAAAACTTAGCTAGGACCATTTAGAATATCAAACCGAGCTTTTCAGGGCCAAATAAAGCCAGACCATAATAAATGGGATAATTCAGGACCTCAAGCTGGAATCTTGGAGACCAAAGTGAGCTAAGCAAGGCTAGCTAGCAGCATTCAGGGCTTAACACAATTTATAGGACATTTTACATGCATAGAAATGCAGTCCTTCCAGGTGAGATCAAACAAAAGTACATTTCAACTAGATTTAGGCTCAAATAAAATTTGAATTTTGTGCCAGATTGAAGATCATAGAGAGCCAGACAAGCATAACTCACAGAACGGAAATGGTCAAATAAGAGTAGTTGAGAATATTCAGGAGGTCAAACATCAGGAACATCACGAAAACTGAGATTATTTGGGACCAAACTAGAAAGAGCTAGAGTGGTAGCAACCATTCAAGTCCCACAATTTAGCACTATTCTGGGCTGAATAAAAGCAAAACCTTTGATTATGCAACCTCGAATAGATCATCCAGGATAACAAATGGTACCATTTATAATATCAAAAAAGTAAGTGTTCCAATTTGCCACAGTGTCCCAGTATATTTGGGACTTTTAAACGTCAATTCAGGCTGACTGGGATCTGTGGGAACAAAATTGAACTAAGCTATAGGCTACCCTGGACCAAACTGGGATAACCCAGACCTGGTTGGTTAATTAACGGTCTCAAAGAAGGAGGTAATTCGGAGTGTGTTATGCTGCCTGATATGATTGAGTACCACATAAACCCAAATACATGTGTCTATTTGACTATCATCTGAAATCTTTGAGGACCAAAATGGTCCAGTTGCACAACTCAAAACCAAAAGCACCATTTCAGGACTCCCAGCTTGGATAGTATCTTTCTAGCAGTGTAATACCAAGTACTAGTAGCAGTATTCTGATTACCCAAATTTCTTGGTAGTACCTTTGTGTAGAAGGGGTGTAGTTTGGGTTGCTTCCTTCCCAGACATTCTTCCTTTGCGACGTCTAAAGCACAAGAAGCTTGTCTTGCACTTCCTGCTGGGCCTGTAGCGATATTGTGGTGGTGGCTCTGGCTCCTTGAATGGGGGTGTAGTTCTAAGATGAAAGGGGACAGGCATGGTGTAACCGGGACGGGGCTCTGGGGTTGGGGGGCAGGAACTAGTTCTGCGTCGCTGGGTGAGTACTGGGCAGTTAGGGCGCTGCAGCTGAAGCGGCAGAGACTGTGGATGGGGTTTACCGCAGGCCTCTGGAGTAAGGAACAGTTTCCCACGAACCTCTGGGGTGAAAGAAGGGTTGATATGGGAGCGTGGTGGGAGTTGCTGCGGGCGGAACCAGGGACTGTTTCCTTGATACTGCAGGTGAGCTGGGAGGGGCTTTTTTTCACTTGAGGCTGATGCAAGCTGTCCCACGCCACCTGCATTTAACCCATAGATGGCATCATGGTGCTGGTAGATTTTAGCTCTGAGCAGGCGCCGGCGCAGGCTGCCCTCTGTTTTTGGTTGCAAGGAAATCATCTTGCGTGGAAGAAGCTCATCTCGCTCTTCCTCAGGACCAGAATTCCAACAATGCGACGTCACACCAGGCCCCGCCCCCTCCCCACCCAGGCATTCCACATATGAAATCATTGTTTCTCGAGCTGTGATTAGGAGTTTGATGGGCTGACAGATTACAGGTGACTCACCACGACTAAACTACAATAGTATTATCATCTTTTCGCAGTAAGTCTTCTCTTGGAGTCAGTTTTCAACCCCTTGTTATTCAAACTCATAAAGAGATTTGTATCATCCAGGTCCTTCACAATAAATGTCCAAAGAGGATCAATAATTCCAGAAAAGGTCCTAATTCCTCCAAATTTAGTTAGCCCTCCCTTATAAAAGACTTTGATTCTGCAAAATAAGCATTAAAAATAATTTTTGCCTTTTTTAGTTGAAGAGAAAAATGAATGTCATTGGACGCACATATTTTCCAGTTATTCACAAAACGAGCCTTGAGCATTTCACAATAAAAGTCTTAAAATGCTATATCTTCACAAATAGCACATTTGGGTTCAGAACAACTATGCAAATTTGTATTATTACAAAAGGTTGATAAAAAATAATAATTAAAAAAAAATTCCCTAAAACAAAGTCCAAAATGTGCTCAGTCGTTTATAAGTTATAAGTTTATAAGTAAGATCTCCGGATCCTCATGTCCACATGTGCAAATGTCCATTTCTTACAACAAACAATCCCAACATTTCACAGTAAAAAAAAAAAAAAGAAAACCTTCGTGTGACCCTGGAATGAACGCAGTTAAAACCTTTAGGAGCTCTGTCCAACTTCTTCTTATTCCTTCACAATAAAAACCTCAGACCTCCAAACCACAAACCAAAAAGTCTCCCTCGGCCGATGTGAATCCAGAAATGATTACAGTCCAACAGTAAATGTGACTTTTTCTTCAGAGGTGTTGACGTAGTGCTGCTTTCTTTCCTCTCCTCTCTCTAACTCTAATCTACTAACAGGGATTATCCAGGTCTGCAGATGGCCGGTGTGGGACAGGTATTTATCACCACACTCACAACACATGTTGCTCAGTAATGCGTTACTGTGTTAAACTGGGTATCTCTAAATTTAGATCTTAAACAGAAGGTTAACATCCTTCACAGCTTAGTTAAACTTCACCTGCACACCACACGATGTGGGTTAATACACACCTGTCAACTGCAACAAATGCACCAAATCCTACTTCTATAGCTACAGTTAGCAGTTATAGAAACTCGCTGAGCCAGATAACGTTTATTACAGCCACAAAATGACGGCATTGACAGCAGCAAATCCTCTTTGGATTCATTGACCAATTAATGTACTTCAGAACCAACACTTCTTATCTTGATTCAGCATGCAAATACGCAGAATGGACATAATGATGTGGAGCTTGAACTATAGAGACTGCCATTAGTGTCATGTGCACCAAATCTCTACTAGATTTTATTTTGTCATCTTGCTTTTTCATTGTGTGTTATTGCACCTCGGCTTGGTTTTGCTGTTGCATGTAGCTGACCCTCAGCTACATGCAACATGATCTGTATTCCATTACCTCCATACTGAAAGTAAATAAATGCCTCAGTCAGGTATCCACTACCAGAACTGGATCCTGCTAAATAAAATGTTAAGAAGAAAGGGGACAGTCAGCAGTTGCAGCACATTAAGGGGAACCACAAACCAGTGTGGTTTATAGTGTTCTCATAAACCACACTGCCTCATTTGTGCACACAAACCTTCAACCAGGAAGTCCTGAAGAAGGACCTGTGTTAAAACCACTTGAACAATATCTTAGATTACCCAAGAAAAGAAACAAACCAAACTTTATATTACCATAAAGGGAAAATTCAAACGCTGATAGTCAGTGCTTGACTGGAACTTTAGATTCACACAAAGCATAAATGCACTACTGTCTGCTGTTCATCTGTTTGTTAACACAAAAATCTATTCAGCAAGTCACATGGCAGCAATTCATTGCCTTTAGGCATGTTTAATACGACCTGCTGAATTTTAAGCCGAGCACCACATTGGTGATGAAAGGTGATCTAAGCGCCTTTGAACATGCCATGGTTTTTAGAATTTACAGAGAATGGTCTGAAAAGTTGAAAATATCCTGTGAGCAGCAGTTCACAGAAGATTGGAGAGACAGCTTTGAGCTGATAGGAAGGCAACAGCAACTCAAAACCACTTATCACAACTACATATGCAGAAGAGCATCTCTGAATGCAAAGCGCATCAAACATTTAAGCAGATTGGTTACAGCAGCAGAAGACCACACCGAGTGCCACTGATGTCAGCTAAGAATAGAAAACTGAGGCTATGGTTCATGTGGATTCACCGAACTTGAACAAGAGAAGACTGGAAGATGTCCCCTGGTCTGAAAGGCCTTGATTTGTGCTGGTACATTCAGAGGTTGGATCCATCCCAGGTTCCAGCTGGTGGAGGTGGAGATGTGTCCAAAGTGACAAAACAAAACATAAACATAATGAAGAAATATTCACAAAGAAAAGCAGAATAATGAATGTCTCTGTTTTCAGTCAGTTTGGGAGGCTGATGGTATTTTGTTGGTAAAACTGTGAGGTGTTCCTTTGAGGTGTATGAGTCACAGGGAGGTGAGGACCACAGACAGAAAGAAAGTTAAAAATGTTTATTGTTTAATTATGAAATCAGTTCTTAAACAAAAACAAGAGTTTTTAACCAATTTTTAAAGGTATCCGTGCTTCATATAAAAGCAATGATAATATTCATTCGTTTTCTGCCTGGAGGTCTCCCTGATCAAACGCTTGATTGACTCAGGGATTCACCTGGCCAACAAAAAAAAGAGAAGAAGAGAAAGTGAGAAGGGTCCCATCAATCTTCAGTTCCTCTCCCCTAGCTTTTTTCCTACGTCATCCATCGTCTGTGTCCTGGCAGCTCAGTTGTGTTTTTGAAGTGAATGTCAGGTACTTGACAGGGGAATTTCTCCCGAGGGTGAAAGTGTTTACTCTGACGGATGATGGGACAAAAATAACTGATGCGATCTTGTCCTGGCGCATTCAGTTGTTATATTTTGTGCTTCTAACTCTTACTATTTTTTAACCACTTCACACAGGTATGATTAATATATTGAGCTTGCAAAACATGTAAATACGATCTAATACGAATACTAAATACTGCAAGACTTGCTTCAAGATGCATCATGAGTACAAATACAAACAAAATTGAGCTCTAATATGCAAATGTAGCTTATAATGATACAGAATGAGGCCACAGATGAAAGCAAACAATCTTAAAAAGAGGGACAATAAGATCATGGGTGAAACATTTAAACATTAACTGCTAATTTGTTTTGTAGCTAAAACTGAAACATCATGAGTCGATAAACATTCTAGCAAATTTTATGTGTGCTCTTTTTGTTTTTGTTTGCTTGAGGAAGTGCAGCTTGCAGGATTTCATTAAGGAAAGCTCCACAGCCACGTCTGAATCTGCAGGAGAAGGACAGCTGTGTTATGGAGGCTCAATGCGATGCTTCAGCCTGCCCCGACAGGCCGACAGTCATTAAAGACTTACACACACACACACGTGCCAGACTCAAGACTGCACACGTCTCTGACCCAAAACTTGGATGAACCAGCATCATCAGTACTTGCAGTATCAGAAGTACTTGTAGTAGTTGAAATACTAGCGGTGCTATTAGGAGCAGTAACCATAGTAACAGTTGCACAAAGGACTCCTGCAGCTGTAATCATGAAAACAGTGCATCTAGTCAACTCTTCACTCCCTCCATTAATCTCTCTCTCTCTCTCTCTGTGCTCAAAATAAAGCATGCTCAACCTTCTTCAGTGCTCCAACACAAACACACACACACACACACACACACACACACACACACACACTGAGACACACATTCTCTCTTTCTCACTCACACTGCAAAAAGGTTATGAAGATAACGGTGTGTGTGTGTGTTAATGTTGACAGATACAGAAAAAAATGACCCACATTTCATAACTTCATGCCCTCTCTCTCTCTCTCTCTCTTTCTCTCTCTCTCTCTTACCTTTTAAGCAGAGCATGTTGTCCTCACTCGCCCGGCGTCCCTCAATATGACACCCAGTATATTTGTGTGTATGTGTGTGTCTGCGTTTGTGAATCTGAGATGACAAAGACTAAAGGAAAACACAAGTTCAAACTCAGATACCTCCCTCTCTCCCTCTGTCTACCCTCCCTCGTTCTACCACAATAAAAGCCTTCTCGCCTCCTCTCTCCCTCCTCTCAAACCAATCCTCACTCAACCTGAAATTACTCTCCCATTACTCCTCCCTCTCACTCACTCAACAGGTGACCTTCAACCTCCCCATTAAGATGAGTATTTCTGCTTTGATAAAGCTTTGATCCACTCACTTCAAAATAAAAGCCCGGTCTGGCGTCATCTGCCTTGTTTTAATTTATTGTTTAACGTGTTATATATATATATATATTTGCAATGTATTGCTGCTTATATTTTAAAACATATAATTATTCTTTCAACCCCACCTCTCAATTTTAAATCTCTCCCGTGTTTTAAATGCATTGTAGAACAACATGCAGCAACACTACACATGAGGGAGGTTTGGGGTCTTCACACACCCCCGTTCTCTGCTGGCCATCGGGGGGGCTGGGAGGAGGTGTTGGCCATCCGATTGGGACCTGGGATGCGGGGCCTCCCTGCTGCTGCGGAGCCTGGGGCGGTCTGCTTGCCTCCACCCCGGGGGAAAGGGTAACATCTCCTGGGTCTAAATGCCGTTTCCCCCTCTGGGGGCGTGGATACCTGGACCCGGGGTATAGAGTATGTTTGGGGAGTGTGATTGTGTGTATGTCCATTTATATCTATCCTTACGTTGGGTGCGTGCTGAGTATTTGTATATGTGTGCATGAGGGTGGGAATGTATGATTGTGTCAATGTGTGCCTGTTTGTCTGTGTCTATATGTCAGGTCGGGTCTTAGACTCCACCTCTCTGGGAACTCCCAGGCCCTCCAAAGTGTGGAGGCCTATCTCCCCTCACCACGCTCCCTGCCGGTGACTGATGCCCTCACGGGTCGGTGCGTTGGTGGTTCTTGGTGTCCGGAGCTGGGCGCTCAGGTATGTACCAGCTCACTCCTGGTGGCTACTTAGCGGGGCCTGGAACCTGTTGCTCGGTCAGGCCTCTTCAGGGGCAAAGGGGTCCCTCGGGCCTCTGGGCCTGCGGCTCGGTTCACTCTGGCACAGCTGGCTGCCGGCAGAGCCGGCGGGCACGCCACTGCAGCCCCCTCTGGCTTCTGCTCTGTGGCTACTGGGTGACCCCTCGTCTGGGGCTCTACTCAGCTCTTCCCAGGAGGGTGGCACGGATGCCCCTCCGGTGGTCCACCTTGGGCTCTTGCACTCTGGGGCCTCTGGATGTCTGGAGCCTGGATCTCCTCCATGCCTGCTTCATGTCCTTGGAGACGGGGCTATGGCTCTCTACACGGAGAAACCTTTTGAATACAAGTGCGCTGATGCACACAGGTGTTCACTGTTCATAGACATAAACTACACCTTTCTTAGCTGCTACTTTCAAGCACATTGTGCGCTGTCGGTCCTACGTGCTGCACAACAACATTCAATAATTAGTATTTACTGCTGTTTACACTTAGCTAGATTGATGCTCATCTAGGACAAACATCTTGAGAAAGTTGAGGGTAAACAGTAACGTTTCCCCACCCCCACCCCTAAAAAAAAGAGAAGAGAAAAAACAAGCAAAACAAAACAAGCAAAGAAAAATAAAATACAACTGAAAGGGAGTAAAGAAGAATAAAGAATAAAAATACCTTTATGAGCGATGACGAAGCAGTGGATGACAGAGATGTAGTGCTCTGCTTCCTCAGCAGGTGGTGGGTTTCTGGAGACAGGATCAGCCTTATTAATCACAGACTAAGGAGCACACGCTTCAGCCTGATTATAAATAATATTCAATAAACTTTATGTATCAGTTTCTTCTATTATCTGTATTCATTTATATCTAGTTCACTTGAAAGTGTAGGCTAGTTTGTCTCACCAGAGCCGGAAGATTTTATGTTTTTTTCCTCTATAAACGAAGGAATGTCCGACAATTATAAAACACCCCAGAGATCTCGCGACAATTGAATGCTAGACGAGAGCCTGGTTAAGGGAATTTTGTGATTGGTCAGTGGCGGACGGCTGAAGTGAGTTGATTGGCTGTGCTGGAGGTAAACACGGAAAAGGGCGGTAGCAGAGAATCTGCTGAGCAGGCCGGCGGTTAGCCTAAAAGATGGAGATTTAATCCGGTTCAAATGTTTCTCCTGAGTGGTTTTATTGTTATTTCAGGTTCAGGATCTTTGTTACAAACTAACACAGCCGGCGGTGGAGTCAGGTGGGTGGAAAAACCTGGTTAAAATATGTAGTTTTTAGTGCAGGCAAGCCTGTTAGCTGCGCTCTTCTATCCCATTGATGTGAACAGCGTGCAGGAGCAGGGTTACCGTTATCCCAGTCCCAGGATAAACCGGGATGAACCAGGATAAGGTGACTTACTCTGGAGACAAATCTCACTCCTAAATGTGCTTAAGTGTTGAAATTGTATCACTGTTAATGGGGAAAAAGATTAAATATTAAAAGAATCCGTTTAAAGGTTGAATGTATTTGATGAAGATAAGTTTACAGGCTGTGGAGGGATGGAAGTAAGAGACGTCCAAAGTACCTGGTTGTGATTTCCTGAAGTGTTAGATTATTTTAATGGAATCTGTTTATTTATTTTTTATATATATTTAGAGCTGCTATTTTTAAACCGGACTATAGTAAAAAACCCACACATTTCTGCTGCTTGTGTGACAGCAGAGCACACAGCACAGATTTTTACATGTAACGTGCACAATTTGGTTTCGGTAAAGGTCTAACATTGGCTGTTTTTGAAGTTTTGTATTCCTGGTTGAAGCAGACATAAAATATACTTTTTGAGCAAATATTTCGAAATTGGATAAATCGAGCCCGACAGATATTTTGCTATTTCCCAATCTATTTATAACAAGCAATAAAGAAATGAAAACAAAAATATAGAAGAGACAAGAGAAACACCGTTCAACCATGTTATGACTGTTGGTGTTGCATAGTTTGTCCACCAGAACGCACTCTACATTTAGCTTTAAGAATTTTTTATCTTGATCTTAGTGGCAGTTTTCTGAGCTCACCTGGTCCTGACCTGCTCTGTACTATCTTTGCAGGGATGTCGGTTATCATACAGACTCGTGGTGAAGTAGGCGGGGGTGTCGCGGCTCACCTCCAGTGCCCCCACTGTGGCCATTTCTCCAAGAGCCACGCCCATCAGCTCTCCCACATTGCGGCATCCCACCCCTCCTGCCTTGACGGTGTGGTGATGGGACGCCTCGGGAACATCCTGATGTACCAGAGTGGCGCCCGGCTCTTCCACTGCTCCTACTGCTTCTACACCAGCAGAGACTTCACCAAGCTCTACAAGCACATCATCACCAAACACTGCATGGATGAAAGGGACAAGGGAGGCGACAACGGGAGCGAGAAGGGTGACGAGGAGGACGAAGAAATGAAAGATGCCACCAAAAGAAAGCAAACTATTAAGACTGAGGAAGAAGAAGAAGAAGGGAAAGGTGACGCCAAAAGAAAGAAGAGCAATGAGGAGGAAGGAGAAGGAGGGAAAGATGAATCTAAAATAAAGAGCATCAAGACTGAGGAAGAGGAGGAAGGATGCAGGGACGTCCTGAAAAGAAAGAGGAGCAGTGAGGGTGAAGAAGAGGAGGAAGGAGAGGGGGTGGAGTCGGTTAAATGCGAGTATGATGACAAAAGCGTGCTACTGTTTGATGGCGCCAGGTACCGCTGCCTAATCTGTGGTTGGAAGAACAAGCTGAAAGCTGTGGGTGTCAGCCACGTGGTGCGCAAGCACAACATTCCCAAAGCGTACGCCAACCAGGCCATCAGACGTGACCTTGCCACAGCCAACCAGATGCAGAGTGGCGGGGGGGTGGAAGAGGAGGAGGCAGCGGTGGCCGGGCTGAGCGGTGAGCTGCTGAAGGAGGAGATGGAGGCCACGGCCAAAGTGGTGCGCTTCATCTCCAACCGCTTTGTGTGCCTGATGTGCGGCTGGAAGACCAAACTCAAAGGTACCCGCCCACGCACGCAGCTCAAATCAAACTGATGCAGATAAAAAAACATGAACTCAAGGTCCCAGGTACGAATCCCTGCACCTGCTATTCTTTGTAATGACCAGCAGGGGGCAGAAAGCAGTTATTACATGTATGTGTAATGTAACACTTCTGTACTACTTAGCGTTCTGTGTTTTGTAGCCGTTTAACAGACTGTTACCTGGAGGACTGCACCAAACTGGGACAATAAAACTTTGTGGTGATACACTGCCCCCTGGTGGTAACATTTTAAAATATATTTAGAAGAGACTACCGTAACTACAAAAATGACCTTTTAATGTGACATTTACGTCTTAAAGCTTGTATGCATGGCACAGATACCACATCGGGCTGTTGCTTTAAATTTGTAAATGTGAGTTAAAATCCCAGAAATGAAGGAAAGCAGACATAAAACGCCAGAAAATGTAAACACAATCTTTACATTTTAATTACTCTTTAAGCTGACTTCTGTAGTATTCTTTTGGACTTTTAAAAAGATTAGATATGACTTTTTTGACTTATTTTATGCGAATTATTATATTTTATAACAACAGCAACAACAAAAGAATTTTAATCAGCTTATATTTGGTAATTGTATCTTTTTGGTTGTTGTTTTTTTTTTTTTTTTTTTTTAAGCAAGCAAAACTAAAAAAATAAAAATCTTTATCTAATTGTTTTTCAAACCAAACAAGCAAACAGATAACTAAAAATAATCCAACATCAAAAACTATAGATTTATGTTTTTATTGTCATCTGTGTCGCTGCAGGTTTCGCCATCAGTCACGTGGTGCGTTGCCACGACGTCGAGCGGCCGTACAGCTGCAAGGACTGCAAGCGCAGCTTCTTCTTGCCGAGCCGGCTGCAGCGGCACATCAGCTCCGCCCACCGGCCCGGCCGCTACGCCTGCCCCTTCTGCTGCTTCAGGTCGCACTTCCTGGGAGGCTTCGGGAGACACTGCAGCCGCTGCAACGCCCGCGAGGAGGAGGGGGATGGCGGTGATGGAGGGGCAGTGGAGGAGGAGGACAACGAGGAGGAGGAGGAGGAGGGAGAGGACAGGAAGGAGACAAGAGGGGAGAAGAAACGCAGAAGTCTGGGGATGGTGGCGGCGGAGGAAGACGACGATCAGGACGAAGATGACGAGGACTGAAAAGGAGGAGGAGCTACAGAAGCACGCGATACTCCGCTGAACATTTTTAACCTGCAGAGAACAAATATCTGTTTCACCGAGTCTGAATAAACTTCTTTTTTTTTTACGATTCGTCTGCTTTAATGAAGCTTCGTGTCTTAAATTTGGAGATTCGGGTGTTTGAAGCTCGACTGTAAAAAGAGCTTCAAATCACCGCTTGAAAATGAATTTGATGGCGTTCGTGGAGACTGCTCACATCATCAGCATCTGGATCCAACTCTTTAACAGACTGAGTTTGTTTAATTACGCTCAGCTGAATGTAACCGCTGGTTTAAACTTTTTATTATTCACGGTTTCATTCACAGTTTAATGCAGCGGTCTTAAAGATTTAAATTTAAATGCATGTTTGAGGTCACTGTGATCTCGGAACACGATTTCTCATCTGACTTGTGTCCATTTAGCTGCCAAACTACACTGGGGAGACGGCAAACGTGTTTAAACTCATCACTGCCAAAACTTTTGGACACAACTGAACTCAAAACTAATATTTTCAGCTTTTAAAAGGTCAGAATTGAAAGGTTTAGTAATGATGTGACACATTCACATTAGAAACCCAAATTAAGAGTCTTACGCGTCACTGGTCTTGACACTGCAATTGATTTTTTTTAATATTCATGTATGGATCACCATTAAAAACTATTTGTTTAGGTCTAGGAACCGCTCGTGGCCTGCTGCTTTGTGTTTTCTTGGTTTCCATGGGGATGTGTAAACGGGAAATAAGCTTACCGTTAACGTAGACAAGGTTCAAAGTCATGCTGTTGTCTGTAGTGACTGCATTAACTTACTGAGCACTTACTGCTGCTTCAGTTTTACATTAATAGTATTAAGCTGACAAACCAAGTGGACGTTTATTGTGAAGTAGCCAAAGGAAATGCAACATTGGTCAGCAGCATTTACTACTATAGTACAAGAATGATTTTATCATCCATCCTAAAATGTCTGGAGAAGAGAGGAGCTACCTGACAGAGGTCAGTGTATGTGCAAAAACACTTTTTTTTTCTAGTTTTGGATCTGGATCGCATCACAGAGAGCAAATCACGTGAGGCACACAGAAACCCCGCCTACCTGCTGATCAAACCTGTTTGTAAGGTGCAGCCAATTGGAAAAACTGGCGGCTAAGACAGCCTGTGGTACATGTGAAGCTCCTCTGGAAAAGTGTAAGAGCTTCCAGGAACTGGCCAATCAGAATAAAATCAACTTTAAGGGAGCAGAAACAATTTGTTTTATAAAAGCTGTGAAAAGGGCAGGTATCTGAAATAAACTCAATCTTTAAAAGGCTGGTGAAGTCTCACTAAAGCTCTGGAGTTAATCTTTTTACAGTGTGTGAGAAAATCACCTTCAAGCGAGCGTGTAAAAGTAAAGCGACTCAGTAGCAGTGAATATAAGAGATTTATTTAATCCAAACATACAAAAACAAACCCGCTGACTGTCCCGCCTCCACCGGACAGAAAGGAAGGAGACCTGTTTTAAGATACCAACTCAAGTCTAAGAAAGCAGCGTGAAGCATACAACACTTTAACCCCCAGATAAAAGAAACCCAAGTCCTCTTCTCTTATCACACTCTGCCTGCCCTTGCGTGTACACATTATTTTGAAATAATTTTTTTTCTTTGAGGAAAAAGCACAATAAACCCAGATTTTCTTTTTCACTGCACCAACTTAAAGCCGTATGACTACAACTCATCTTAAAGGTAACATATCAATCTATAGCTGCAAGTATTTATTATTGTATTAATTTACTTTCTTTATTGTGTCTCTCTCGGGTTTTAATACTGGCTGAAGGTGTGATTTGCTGGCACATGACAAAGGATAAGCACCAGATTTAAGGAGCAGAAACCATAAAAATATGCAATAAAACCTTTGGCTGTGGAGATCTTTCCTTTTTAATAACACACATAACAGCTGCACTGCTCAGTTTATCCACTAGGGGGAGGGCTAATGTTGAATCGCCTCTCTCAAATTAAAAAAGTGTCTCATATGAAAGCCTTAAATAATTCCTAAAAGTTTAGGCTTCAGACATGTGAGACATTTGAGTGGTTGCTCATCGCTAATCCAACGATATACCTGCTGTTTACTAACACAGGAAAAATTTGGAATATTTGATTTCAGGTTTTCAGATTTTCCTTGTTTACCTTTGTAGGTGTTGAATGGATTTGTTGGATGAAAAAAATCCTTTCGATGAGGCCACATTGGGCTGGTTGGTGTTTTCTACACCAAATGACTGCATGCTAGGATTAAATGACCACACACATACTGAAATTTTCTTCCAGCGTCTCTCAGATTACACTTTAAGACGGCAGCATAACATCTTTTCACCTGCAGATACTGTGAAGTCTCCATATTTTTTGGAAAAGAATCTCTCTTTCATTAAATTTTGGCTAGGAAGCCATAAAAAAACAAAATCTATCAGTAGTTAGGCTTAAGTTCCTGCCCCCCCCCCAAAAAAAACACTGCTTTTCTCATTTAAAGAAGGAGAAGCATTATCCCTCTGAGAACTAAAATCTTATGGACAAAAGTAACAGACCCACATTTTTTCCATTTCACAAAAAACCTCCAGATTTAAGTCTTGTAGTCGACACAAATCGGTATTTTCCTCATTCTAAACTGGAACCTGAAGCCACCGGCGTCAGTTTGTTCCCTGCTGTGTTTGTTTGGGAGCCATAGATCACCACGGTGCTCCTTTAAAAGGCCAACGCCAGTGGCGTCCAGCCCGTCTCATCCTCACTTATCAAACAGTGTCCTGACAAAAGCTTAAACACCCAACAGAAAAAGACCATTTCTATAAAACTGCACTTTCACATTTTGATTTTGTTTCACTGGCAGCTGGAAGTTGGTGCGACTCGGTCCCCGTATGGCTCTGCTTGGTGGGTTCACTGGTACAACCAGTCCCATAATCCCCTGCTGCGAGTCAAAGGCCATACGGAAGCTTTTAATGTTCATCGACCCAATTAACTGACATCAGCATGTTATGATGTTGGGAGGTCAGAGGTCAGATGTGTCGAGGACACCATGCTCCCTCCAAGGCAGCCATGTTGATTCCCCTAAGGTCGTCGAAGTCATCGCCGTCTCCGTCGCAGTACTCGCCGTCGTCGTCGTGGTCGTCGAAGCGAGGCGTGTAACTAGCCAACGCCTTCTGCTGCTTGGATCAGATGTCGTCCGGAACAAAACAGAAGAGACAACAGAGCGTGAGCAGCAAGTGCTGAAGGTTGGACAGTCTGAAGCTGATCAATGAGATCATTAAAGGAGGCGACGCCTACTTTAACCCTCCAATACAGAAGCAAGACACGGTGTTGGTGGCTGATCTGCACGTCTGTACCAGTTTTTTACCTGTTTGCAGAGAAGTTTTGGCTCACTTTTCAGCCATTATGCGTTTAATTTTTGGTGGTCTCTGCAGGTACTTTATGGTGCGCTTGGACACCATACTGGTATCACACCATACCAAGATATTTAGAAAGCCTAACAGTGTCACTTACACTGACACAGATGTTACGCTGAAGTCATGTTTCACTAAAAAGCCGCTAGAGGGCATCCCCTCAGCAGTGAACAGTATGCTGAGCTCAGTGAGTTGTGCAAGATAGCTAATTACAGTGTAATTAGTAAACTCTTTAAATTAATTTTAGGCTTGAGTTCTTTGAAAAAAGGCGAGCCAGCCAACCCCGGTGAAGCTGTGTGACGGAAACACTTCAAACTGGCCCTGAAGTCAGCTCCTGATGTCCGCTGTCTGCAGCAGGGCTGCTCTCAGCAGCTAAAATCAAACAAACTAAAATCTGGACAGTCAGACTCTCTCAGTGTAGCTAATGATTTTCCATCACCAGCAGCTCAGCCTGCAGCTTTTACATTTTTAAACTCAGACTGCAGAGAGTGAGAGATGCAAGATGCAACAAACCTCCAGAGTACAGGGGACTCCGAAGATCAAAATTGTTCTGGGACCTGAAACTGAAGCGATCACAACAGCCAAGTATTGAGGCTTCATTAATGTTTCCAAGATTCAAAGTTATTTAGGAATCTTGTTTCCCCCTCCAGGGCCCTGTTTCAGGAAGCCGGTTTAGAAAACTCAGAGTGAAAAACGATACTCAGGGTTGAGTAACCCCGAACTGTCCAACTCGGAATATTCGGTTTCAGAAAGGCTGATAACAAGTAGTTCAGTCAACGCGGAGTTGCTTTAACCCCAAGTTAAGCGCGCGCACGAGGATACATAAAGCCCTGATTAGTGGAGCACAGATTAAGCGAGTCACCATGGAGACGGAGGGAAAGAAGGCGCGGTCAATGTATTTTACAGCGCTTGAGGCCGAAATTCTGATGGCAGCATATGCCGATAACATGCAAATTTTGCAGAAAAAAAGTAACACAGCCTCAGCTGCAAAAGAAAGGGAGCATGCATGGCAAAACATAGCCGACAGAGTCAATGCGTGAGTGTTAATTTAAACATTGATCTAGGGATTTCCACCCATTTAACACGTTATTTTATTATATTTTATTTTATTTATTTTATACATTTTATTTTGTGATGTGATGTGAGCGCAGGTGCAACCCAACAGGCCCCAAACGTTCCTGGCAGCAAGTAAAAATGAAATATAAAAATATAGTCCAAACAGGTAAGGTGTAATTGTATTATGAGCCATAGTGCTTGGTCTGTTTGTCCGATGTAAATCAATTGCAGTTAGAGGCTACATTAATTTCCCTCTGTAAGCACTTATTGAAATTATCTGAGCACATTACAAGTACATATTTGCTTACTCTGTATGCTCAAATGTGACCCGTTATAGCCAACAGAAAAAAAGCGGAGGCCCGAAAAACAGGTGGGGGTCCTCCACCACCACCACTCACAGAGCCTGAGCATTGGCTTCCACATTTGTGATAATGTTGGCAGCATCATCATATGATCTTCACAGTGCAGAGAACACAAATTAGCATCCATTACTATAATGAAATAATTTGTTAGTTTGAAATGCTACAGGGAACTATGTACCTGTACATTAATGCTGTGGAAAGACTTCCTGTTCACATAGTCTCCTTCATTTACTGAAGGAGCAATGATTGGAATGTGAGTGCCATCTGTACAGCCA